GGTAACGTTTTTTTTTTTTTTTTCTCGCCCGTTTTTTGGAGACTACCGGTCGCACGTCGGTGGGTACACCGCCCGACGCGGCGACACGTTAACGACCACGTCGGCTTTTTCAAGCTGGGTGAGGTAATGGTGGTTTAAGCAGTTTTGTCAGAGTCCGGACCAGTTCTTTCGCAGGTATCGGGACGGTCCAATTGATTAGGGATTCACAAGCATATGTGTGTGAGAGTGAGAGCACGGGCCATTTTCAAATGAATCTGGTCAGATATATTTCAAATTGGCCACTGCGTTTTCTCTCTCATGCACTTGCAAACGTGCCACAAAGAGAGAATCTCTCTCTCTCTCTCTCTCTCTCTCTCTCTCTCTCTCTCTCTCTCTCTCTCTCTCTCTCTCACACACACACACACACACACACACACACGACCGGGCCAGGTGTGCACCACTAGGGGTGTGTGTGTGTGTGTGTGTGTGTGAGAGAGAGAGAGAGAGAGACCGGGCCAGGTGTGCACCACTAGGGGACCCCCCCAAAACAAATTCAGGCTGTTCTGAGCAAAAACGGAAAAAAAAACTTCAGGAACATTGTGTGTGATGTGGTGGTGGGGATCCTATCTTTTTTTTTTTTTTTTTTTTTTTTTTAAAGCATCAATCTCGTTGACAAGATCCCCATTGATTGATTGATTGATTTCCCCTCCCACTAAATCAATCAATCAATTAATCAATCAATTAATCAATCAATCAATCGGGATCCCGATCGATTGATTCGGTATCTTGATCAAGATCCTATCGAATCCATCGATTCGACAGGATCCCGGTGGAATGATTGATTGATTGACTGATTGTATTGATTGAATGATTGATTGACTGATTGATTGATTGATTGTATTGATTGAATGATTGAATGATTGATTGATTGATGATTGTATTCATTGCATTGATTGAATGATTGATTGATTGATTGATTGATTGTATTGATTGAATGATTGGTTGTCAGATTGATTGATTGTATTGATTGAATGATTGGTTGTCAGATTGATTGATAGAGTGCCCGGGGGGAAAAGCAGAGGGCAGGGGAAATTAGGACTTCAACAACCATGGCAAGAACATAGAGATGGCGACGCGGCTGCAGCAGCGAGGGAGGACGTGGCATAAGAGGAGGACGGAGGGAAGGAAACTCACCTGGCGCGGGTGGGCGCTGGTGTGTGGGGTTGTGACCGTTGGGCGTTGGAGCGGCACCTGCAACGCCGAACTCCCCGGACAGGGCAGGGCCTATGTCACACGCGAGAGAGGGCCACGATGTCCCAAAATTCAAATTTGAAATCGGCCCAATCCAGGCCGTCGATCTCGAAGATACGATGGGCCAGGGCCAGATGGGGCCATTTTTCTTTTCGCTTTTCCAGGGCCTACCGGCCTCGCAAAAAAATTCTCTTGTGCCCGCCCACTTCACCCCTGCCCGCATCCCACCCCTACGGAGCCCAATTCCCTAAGGAAGTGGCCCCCCTATTTTCACCACTGATCGGACAGAGGGCGGCCCGATCCAGGCCCTCGATCTTGAAGATCTGATGGGCCAGATGGGGCTGTTTCCTTTCCGCTTTTCGAGGGCCACCGGCCTCACAAAAAAATTCCCTTGAGCACGCCCGCTTCACCCCTGCCCGCATCCCACCCCTACGGAGCCTAATTCCCTAAGGAAGTGCCCCACCGATCGAACACAGGGCCCCGGGCGGACGACCGACCAGTTGTCCGATCGGACAGTCGCAGACGGTCAGGGGGTTCCCGGACGTCCGATCCGGTAACGTAGGTAAATGGGGAAAAGAAAAAGAGAACACACGCTCGGAAACAGGTCCATGAATTTGCAGCACAGAGTTGCAGATCACAGCTGACACCGATCGCAACCATTTCTGCCACCATTCAACAGCCCACTCATTGATGAGACCTGCTCCAGCTCATCCACATGTCACACACTCAGAACTTCGTTTTGATTTTTGAAAGAGCAACACCCTTGCGATATCATCATCGTTCTGACCAGCCCCAGTTAACTCAGAATTCTTTTGTCCTGCCAGTCTGATTTCATCTGGCTGCAAACTTGGGTCTGATTTCACCTGGCTTCAAACTTGGGTCTGATTTCACCTGGCTTCAAACTTGGGTATGATTTCACCTGGCTTCAAACTTGGGTCTGATTTCATCTGTGGCTTCAAACTTGGGTCTGATTTCATCTGGCTTCAAACTTAGTCAATATATCTGATAGTATCTGGAGTCTAACTTGGGTCTGTTTTTCAACACGTCATGGGTGTTTCCACTGAGCTGGGCTTATTCGTACCCTAAACTGAGTACCTCTTCCCTTTTTTTTTTCTTTTTTTTTTTTTTGAAAGACCCAGAGGGTGTCTACGAAAGCCAAGATAACAACTCCATCCACAATTGACAACCAGTAAGGCACCAGCCCATACCCACGCTACTAACACTGTCGATCCTGGGCATTCAATAACCCCCCCAACATACATATGTAGGGCCAAAGGATACACGTAATAAGACCGAAGCATGCTCTTACTAGGTTCAATTCAGTCAATCCACAAGCACACATCCTCTTGATAACTCGCGTGCTAACCAGCTTGAAGACACAGGTATACACACACAACCTGTGAATATTCTCTAGGTAGAGTCCATAGAAAGGGGAACATTAACTGTTCGCCAGCCACAAACACATTCATTCCTGCAGAAAATAGGATCACTAACCACACTAAGTCCTCCCATTGTCCTGGCATGCATAAATGGACAATGAGCTGGAACGGCGCTTGCCCGTGTATGTTTTACTGATCAGTGATTCAACCAATAAGCGTCATAATCTTCGTCGACGTCTAGGCCATGCAGTCATAAATCATAGTTTTCCGATTCACCGGACGACTTCTTCAGATCATCCAGCATCTTCTGAAGTTTGCCTGACGAGTACGCTGCCACTGTATCGTCAGATCCACCAAGGCGTTGTCCACCAATGAAGACCTGAGGCACAGTCCACACCCCATGCATCTTCCCAATCTCCTCTTGAATCGACCCCCCGTCATCGCGAAGGTCAAGTTCCACCACATACGGCGTCTCTTTCAGCTCCTTGAACACATTTTTCGCCCGCTTACAGTAGGGGCAGTACGATTTCGAGAAGATCACCAGAGGGTTGGACGCTATTGTCGTCTTGACGAAGGCACTGGCACTGTCGTCTGCTCGTGAGAATATGATAGATGCCACCAGACATCCGGCAAACAGCCAGCCTGCTGCTGCGGTCTTCATCGTGGCACGCCTGGGTAGTTCCAACAGATAACTTGGGGCACTACAAACCCTTTCCGCAGATATGCAGAGAGATCACCATAATCAACCGCAAAGAGGAACACAAGGGTGAGGAATGAGACAGAGGGTGGAATTGACATAGAACTTGATAGAAGTCTAGAAAAAATAAATGCAACTACTCTGTGATGTGCACCCACACCATAAAATATGATCCATTGCCAGAAGCAAAAAAAAAAAGAGGGGCAAGAGATAAGGAGGCAGAGGGGAGGGAGAAAGAGGGGAGGAGGGAGAGCGCTGAAAGAGTGCAGAAATAGACCAGGGAAAAAAAGAAAGCAGTAGCAGCAAATCCAAGCAGTTCTACTCTCCCACCCTGTACCTCAAACGCTTTGCTTGACTAAAGGGTGTACTCACACTACCACTCTCGTGAACGTATCTGAATGTAATTACAGCCGGGCCTGGATGGATCTGACCGCAATTGCGTCCAGAAAAGAGCAAAAAAGTCCTAGTGTGAGTACGCCAAAAGTCGTCCTCACACCTTCCTGCCCCCATGCACAATCTCGGGCTGTGGCATGAGAACGACACAGACAACAGACGGGTGCATCCGCAGGGCTTGACACAGACAGAGAGCAGCAAATGTGCACAGATCTCCAAGACCAAAGATCAATTTTTTTCTGATAACAGGGACTCTCTCTCTCTCTCTCTCTCTCTCTCTCTCTCTCTCTCTCTCTCTCTCTCTCTCTCTCTCTCTCTCTCTCTCTCTCTCTCTCTCTCTCTCTTACAGACATACACGCACACACACAGACACACAGAGCTTAGTATAAGCAGCTCCTGGGATTCCACCGACGATTGACCTTAGGATCGAAAATAGTAGTCGACGACCAGGGCAGGGGCAGGTCATGAAGAGGGGAGATTAAGAAAGTAGTTGTTGCAATCAGAGTATGGGCCCGTGGATGGTAAGGGCGGGGAAACTTTGCAACAGGGGGAGAGGGATTGGAAAAGCTGGCTGAGAGAGATAATGGGTCAAGAATGTCGGGAGAAATGTGAAAGGGGGCATTGCGACGTGACAAGGGTGGACAGAGGAAGGAAGATCGCACGAGAAGAAGTAGACGAATAAGAACGAGGAGGAGAGGACGTCACGGAGACAGCATTTGTTTTTTTCTGGTTCTGTTTGTTCTTGTGAAGGAGGTATTTTTATTGCTCATCTATTCTATCAGGCGGCTGAGAAGACTGAACGGCCTGCAAAACTTGGCGGGAGGCAGAAGGGGGGGCAGACGGAGGGCACAAAGAGGAAGGCACGCAAGCAATACTAGTTGTTCATTCACAGACATATTAACGGCAAATCCTTCACCCCAAAAACAAAGTCACCGAAGTCAGGAGGGGGGGATGGTGGACGTTAGGTGGGGGGAGGAAGAAGGTAGGCCGGACGAGGGCAGTGTTTGGAGGTGCGGCGGCGGAGTTGGGGCGGCGGAGATGACAGAAGATGTGGGTGAGAGGGCGGAGGAGGGATGAACAGCGGGTGGGGGGGAGGAGGCAGGAAGGACGTCAAGCATGTCGCACCACCAAGGAAGGAAGGAGGTCGGATGGAAGTGAAGGACAGACGGCGGGCGGTGTCTACAGGTGTCAGGCGGAGGGATGATGGGCAGGCGGATGGTGGAAGGAGGGACGGGCTGGGCGAAGCGAGGAATGGGGGTGGAAGGCGGTCGGGCATGTCAGGTGATGGAGAAGGTTGGGCGAAGGGAGGTGGGGGCAGCAGCAGCACGCACAAGTCGGGAGGAGGGAGGTCGGGGGCCTGCGCGACTAACAGGCAGCAAGAGGGCAGCGGTAGCATGCGCAAGTCGAGTGGCGGGAGGGCAGGCAGCAAGTGGGCGGCGGCGGCACTGTCCAGTCCAGAGGTGGGAAGGCAGGCAGCTGCTGCTCCACTAAGGAGCAGCGAGCCACTCGGGATGAGGCCTTGCTTGGGAGCCTCACCAAATGTGTGCAAAAGGAGAACGTGAAATAAAAAGTTACACCCCTGGCATTTTCGTGTTCACATGTCGTGAGTTGGTGGGGCAAGGCCCATGAATGATGGCAAGGCATACACACATACCTTATTAAATTCTGTTCTCAATGCATGACCTAGGGCAAGGCTCCACTACTCTCGAAATGTGCAAAACGAGAGTGAATCTTTGGCCAGAACAAGGAAAGATACATCGCCATGAATTTTGTCTTTTGTGCATGTCGAGAGTAGTGGAGCGAGGCCCTTCGCCTCTATCAATCACCACCGCGGGTGGCACGCACCACCCGTGCGCACAAGACAATGACAGAAAATGACGACCATTCCCAGGTAACGACGAGAAAAAAGAACTCATAACACAGTCTGTCACAGCCCCTCGTTTCTCGTCCCTTTCTCCCTTTCCGCCTGCGTTTCACCGAGCGGTTCCCTGTGACAACATGTGCGGAGGGTGCGCATTTCAGTTGACAAATGAGGGGCATTCCCACAGCAACATGGCTGTAGAAGCCCCCCTCCTCGCAGAGTGATTCTCTGTGACAACATGTGCAGAGGGTGCACATTTCAGCTGACAAATGAGGCGCATTCCTCCAGCAACATGGCTGTAGAAGCGCCCCTCCTCGCAGAGTGATTCTCTGTCACAACATGTGCGGAGGGTGCTCATTTCAGCTGGGAAATGAGGGGCATTCCTCCAGCAACATGGCTGTAAAAGCCCCCTCCTCCCAGAGTGATTCTTTTTTTTTTTTTTTTTCAACTCACAAGACTCCCATCCCACCACTCCTCTCGATATATCTCCTGGCGCACCCCCACTCCATTTCTATCTTACCTCATCCGAGGAACATCACTCACTACTGGAGCAACCTGACCAGACAGCGGACGCGGGCACCGACGCTGAATGAGCTCCCCCATTCAGCCCCAGTTGAGGCACTAGCGTACAAGCCTCGTTATACGGGAACCTCGGGAGCTAGGCACATAGTTCTCAGCTAGTCCCGTGAGTAGTGAGGGCACTCATAGTCAGTGTCTAATGGTCAACTAACCAAGGTCTTAACCTATGAGCCCCTCTAAGTACTAACCCTAGCACAGCTCGGATCATGTATGTCTACTGTTAGTTGTTGAGTATGCTGGTTGTTATGTGAGCTAATGTGATATCATAGTCTATGACATTGTGGATATGTGTGGTTGCTTTCTGCTACTAATGAGCCTTGCTTATGTCTGTTCACTAGGGAGAATCAACCAGTGGTAATGGTGGAGACCTCGACCGTCGTCTAACAACTACCCCCAACCTACCTCTGATGACCCACCACCCCGAAATGGGTCCACAGACATTGAGAGTAGGACACAACTCTTGATTCGACATTGGTTTCCCTACAAGGCAACCCTCCCCACCATAGGACTGCCGCGGTATCACCATGCACCCGACCAACCCCTTACTACTCACCTGCCCAAGAGAGTAGCATCCATCCCACATCAACTTTCCCACAGGAAAGGCACACGTCTCCACCCGAAACCATATAGAGGATCATCCCTTAGCTGATATGATGAATGAGCATAGTCGGAGTTGAACTCAAGACCTCCAAGTTAGTATATCAGAGCTCTACCCACTGAGCTATTGAGGTCGTTAGTCTGTAAGGGCGCTATGCCAGGCTCGGGACAAGTACGTGGGGTGCAACCTACACCAACCAATTGTGCTCAGGGGAAGTTGTGGGCCGACAAAGTCGAACCCACGACCTCCCCGTTGCAACACCGGAGCTCTGCCACTGAGCTACCACGTACTTGCTTACCAACTGACCGTCTCGAAGGTAAGACGCTAAGCAGGCCACAGGCACTCCCAGAGTGATTCTCTGTCACAACATGTGCGGAGGGTGCTCATTACAGCTGGGAAACGAGGGGCATTCCTTCAGCAACATGGCTGTAGAAGCTCCCCCCCCCCCCCCCCCCCTTTCCCATAGTCATTCTGACAGAGACGGGGGCATTCAAAACCAAGACAGACCGTGCTCACGTCCTCGTTGTTTAAACTGCATGTACACCACTTACTTGTTCATTGAATATAAGTTTAGAACGAATCCATAAATCATTTCAACAAAAGATTGCCAAGCATTGATGGTAGTAAATGACCTCCATTGATGGTGCCAAAATGAAACAAAAGCAAAACTAAACGATTAGCGAGTAGCATAAACAAATATGCAACAAGGTACATCGTAGGGCGCTGACAGAGTCCCCTGACACAGTCCCCTGCTCGGGAGAGGGGATGGGTATTTAGGGTTCTCGGCAGGGAAGAGTGAATGGGCGTCGCTCTACTGAACATTCGAAAAGTATATGAACTGGACAGTAGACCAGGTACATTCGGACTGATCGAACATTTTGAGTGTATTGGACCGCTAACAGGTCCAGACACGTAGTAAGATGTGTAGTGAAGTGGGAGCAACAAAACGGTATCATCGTGCACATGCACCACAACACCATCCATCCACATCCCACAGTTCACCATTAAAATCATATTGGCATACACCCCGCCCCCCCCCCCCCCCCCCCCCCCCCCCCCCCCCCCCCCCCCCCCCCCCCCCCCCCCCCCCCCCCCCCCCCCCCCCCCCCCCCCCCCCCCCCCCCCCCCCCCCCCCCCCCCCCCCCCCCCCCCCCCCCCCCCCCCCCCCCCCCACAAAAAAAAGCAAAACCCATGGAAGAATGTTCTAGGTTATAGCCAGTCACTAACTCAGGTTGACCTTTTTGACCTTTTGGTTTACCAAAAGGACTACAGCTAACACAACTTGCGCTTCTGGTAAATCGAACGGACCACGGTTCGTTTCTGCAAAACAAGAAGGGCAAAAAAAAAAAAAAAAAAAAAAAAAAAATCAATAAAGGAAAAAGGGGGAATGCCAAATGATAACTGTTTTTGTGCAATATGACACCTTCCGTGAAATATCAAGAAACCTCAGTTATTAAGAAAACCAATACCCATGAAATATAGGGGCCTCGCTCCATTACTCTCCAAATGTGCAAAATGAGAATGAATTTTCCGCTAGAACACGGAAGGATGCATCGCCATACTTTTCGTCTTTTGTGCATGT